TTCCTCCAGTGAGGGTGTTTTCCTCCTCTATCCAACATGAGGTGGCTGTGTGTCCACTGGTCCTCAGGTCTGTTTCTTTGCCAGCTACTGTGATAATGTAACACTTTAAAATGGGTTTCTCAGCTGGGTGTGATGGCACACACCCATAATCCTAGCCCTGTGGGAGGCTGAGGCAGGAGGATCATGAGTTTGAGCCCAGCCTGGGCAACTTAAGGACTTAGCAAGACCTTGTCTGAAAATAAAGAATGCACAGATGTGAGAGCTGAAGCAGACACCAACAGGGCAGTGCATACGCTCATCTTGGAAGCCACGTCTGTGACGCACGGCTCGACCTAGTGAACCAGCCACCCCGCTTCAGCTCTGTTGCAGCCCAGGGTTTTCAAGTGGAAAGAAACCTCCCTGGGATCTGGAGAGCGAGCGAGCAGCGCTGTCTCGAGTGTGCGGTTATGAACGTTGCACCCTCGTCACTGGAATCCAGAAGTGAATCCGTCGGTCTCAGATCAGTCTCGTCACCTATTTGGATCTCACTTTGTCTTCCCTTCATAACTTGTAGAGTAAATTCTACTTATTTTCTCTTGCAAAATTCACAAATACAGAAGAGCGTGCAAAATGCCTGTCTCATAAATTTCAATGTCTTCTCCCATTTTACCCATGCAGGGTATCATTTTTTAATTCATAATTTTTATGACACAATCAAAAAAAATTTCAAAATTGGGGACTGGTAAACCCTAAAAACATATCCTAAGGTTATCCAAGTTTTTGAGAGGTTTGTGTGACTTAGGAAATGGCTTGGTATCCACAGCCAATCTCCCTGACGGCACCCAATCTTGTCTGATCTCGGAAGCTAAGCAGGGTCAGGCCTGGTTAGGGTTTGGATGGGAGAAAATGGGCTGGTAATTCTGCAAAACCGTAAGCTTTCCATGAGTTTCAATGTGTTAGAAATACAACAAAGATAAGCTTTCACTGCGTTATTTGCAGATTTATATTGAAGTCGGATGAGTCATGAAAGAAACAGGGAGGGAAAACTGAAATTAAGACCCAAGAGATGATACTGTCTCATAGAAAATGAACTTTATAATATGTTAATTCACTTCTAATTACCCTCTAATCTGTGCCTTCATTCACCCACTTAGTAAGAAAATATGAAGGGTAATCCTAAACTTACATACTAACACGGGGCAATAACCACCAGAAGGGGAAACCATGCTTTTTCTCCCTTTATGTTTGCCTTCTCTGTGTGTATAATCAGAAACTAGATCTTTCCAATTATACACATCTAGGCTTTGGTAAGACCTAAATGTCAAATGGAAATTTTCTCAAAGTTTCTAGGTACAGCCTGATTTATATGTTAATTATGTATTAATTTTTCAATGTCAACTTTAGCAAGGGTACTAATCATGTTATACACAATTAATTGAGTAAACTTCACATGTTAGTATCTCTATGAATAATCATAATGTTTAGAGGAAAACTGCAAATTAACTGATAACAGGTGAACACAGGGAGAGCAAAGTCCAGAGTCCTGATCTTACCAAACACTGACGTTTTTCTGCTAGAATCCAGATTATACTGCATCTGCCCGTCAGTCACCAGCTCTGTATTGAACGTGCTGACCAATGAGCTGTGTGTTTCATAGGTGTAGATTTTATAAGAATTTTAGTATTCCTTTGTCCATGAGATCCCCTGCGATGCCTATGTTTATTTAAGAGCTTCCCCATTAATACACATTAGCCCTAATGTTGTCTAAGAAACATCTAAAGGCAGCATTTTTCACCAGTTTGGTAAAGAAGTCTAAAAAGAAACAAAGAAATTCTCAGAAGGTTTCACTCAGAGCCAAGCACACGTGGAATGACTCCTGGATGCAGTTCTGCTTTCAATTGTGTGCTCAAGGTCATTATTAGTGACAAGAATAACAACAAAGTTTGCCATTGACGAGATGCCCAGAAGTGTGTAATTTTCAGAAGATGAAATAGCCTTGAAAAGCTACTGCTTAAGGTTGATTAAGGGTATGAACCATGTGATTACCATGGAGACCCTCTGCCAAATAACCCATGAAATAAGTGAAGAAACGAAGAAGAATCACACATGTCATCAAATAGGTTCCAAGAGAGATTCGGGCTCCCTCCAGCGCTTTAGATGCCCTCAGACTGCCTTCCTCCAAGACTCACAAGCCTTTCATCCTTCCAGGTGCACAAAAGCCCATGGAGAACCTCGTTGTCAGGCAGGTCACTGCACATTTATGTGCACGCGGTGGCTCGGTCATTCGTCCTCTGCTGGGTGGGCAGGACTCACAGGTCTGAAGAACCACTGCTCAGGCCACCCAGGAAGATGACCGTCAGAAACAAAGCGCTTGAAGAGTGAGCCCCGAGTAGAGCCCGGGCACCTCACCCGCTCCTACCTGGCATCCTCCTCCTGACTGTGCAGGCAGCAGTTCGCAGTGTTCACCAGAAAGCTGAACAGGCGGCTGTACAGGGACTTGGCCAACAGGTCGCGGTAGAACTCGGCGGTCCGCACGGTGTGTCGCCGCACTACCAAGTCTCCTAGAGTCATGCAAAGAAGAGGGGTTAGGACAGCCAGTTTAGAAGCAGCAAAATCATGCGCATCCTTTTTCCTTCCCTACCCACATCTCCTGAAGGATGTTAAAAATGGCCCATGATTCTAATAACAAATGAGGTCTCCGTGGGTTCTCACAGAACATGCTCCCTGACATGAGTGTGAAATACGCTGCCATCACTGCTCAGATGTGAGCACAGCTTCAGGCCTCTCAGGAGGCCCTGCCATTTCCTCCCAGGAAGCCGCCCTGCCTGGGATCCCCAGCTAAGTGTCCTGACAGCAGCTCACTGGTTGGCGTACTGAACTGTTCCTCGGCATTGGAGGCCTGTCTGTGTGGACAAGGGGCTGTACTTTAAATATTTTTCAAAGAAATGGTCTAATCAGCCAAAGCGTGGGTCTGGAGTTAGGGAACAAGACTGGGCGCTCAGGTAGAAGTTTTCTGTGTCGTTCTCCTAAAAGAGTGCTGAAATCTTGAAAGAGAAGTTTTGGAAGAGAACAGATGGGAGAAGGGACCCAGGAAAGACAAGGGGGCCAGTGCCACCGAGGGGACAGCACAGATGACAGCAAGGGCAGTGGCTGTGCAGGAGGATGGAACCCGGTCCCCAGGGGGCACACGACGGAGGCGTTCGGGTCAGTCACCAAGACGCGGGAGGGCGAGGGCAGCGGAGGTGCAGGAATGCTAGATGATGCAGGCTCGCAGGAGAACAACGGACTTGGAGGAGGTCAAGATGCAGATGAGGCCGATGCAAAGGGGTCTTGGAGACACAGCTACGGGGGGCGTGCTAGGTGTGGCCCAAGGACTACTGCAGCTCCAGGGCCTTCCTGAAGGGATGGACTGTCCACCAGGGAGATGAGACATCCGTGAAAGCCTGCTATCTCCAGATGAATATCATACTTGCCTTTCACAGATTACTTCTGAACTAGCACGGGAGGCTGTCAGAAGGAGACAGGGTCAGGTAAAGGATTCTCCAGGAGGCTCTCGCCATGACCAGGGAAGGAATCACAGAAGAAGAGGCAAGGACACCGAGGGTCCTGCGGGCCATGTCTGCCCTCTCCACGGAGAAACAATGGTCAGAGATGTCAGGGGCAACCTGGGGACACTTAGTGCGCAGCAGAACATTCTCTCAGTTCCAGGATACCCGAAGGCAGCTCTGGGGGCAGGAACGGGCGGGCATCGCCAAGCACGCGGCCAAACACCTCCAGAGCAGTGCACGGAGGAAGCGGGCAAGACCCGTGATGATTCAGAGAAAAACGAGCACCCCGGAGGAAGACCGAGGCAGGGGGATCGCAAGTTCAAGCCCCGCCTAGGCAACTTGCTGAGCCCCTGTCTTGAAATGTTCAAAAGAAAGAAAGGACTGGGGCTTGTAGCTCAGTGCAAAGGCTTTGGTTCTATTCCAAGTGAAGAAGGAGGAGGAAGGAAGAAGGGGGCCCCGGCAGATGGGCTCTGAGGCCTCACAGGGGTGCATCCCAGTGAGCACGTGAAGGGCGTGGGGACCAGTCCTCTCAGCCACAGGCGGAGAGAGACAGAGACAGAGAGACAGGGACCGGACACCTGGGGCTCATGCAGCCCTCACTCGGATCTAGCCGGCCAGTTAGCAGTGACTGGGCATTCAAAGTTATCTCACCTCTGAATCTCTGAATTTTCTCATCGTGAAAATGGCAACATCATGCCCCCCTCATAACGATTTGTGAGAGATTGAAAACTACAACACTCAGAGCCTGGGCACCATGCCTGCCCAGTCCTGCGTGCCCAGCAGAGGAAGAGCTGCTGGGAGGCTGGGCTGTCACCGACCGGGCAGCACAGCCAGGGGTGCGTGCGGGGGCCTCGTTTTCCCGGAATAGGGCCTCTGGATGGATGGTTTGTTTCGCTCACGTGACAGATTCGCTAGAGAGGGCAACCGGTTAACCAAAACGAGCTCTCGGGATCACAAGGCCCACACAGTGCTGTGCCACATTGAGGGACTCGTGGCTGTGATGGGTTTCTAAACTGGCCCTCAATTCCTAGACACAGTTCCGCCGAGTGGGGGCAGACAGAGATGTGCTTCATCTCCACGTGTGAAAGAGGACCGAGGTGTGTACAACGGCAAAGTCATGCACAGAAAGCTCACCTTTAAGATACTGAACATCAGTCGTTAGGGCGGATGCCAGCTCATCTGTGGACACCTGTAGCATCCCAGCCACTGAAAGGAAGCAACATTGGAAATGTGAAGTCAGCATCCGTTTCTGCCTATGAAGAGCATTACAGTCTACAGTTACCCTGTGCACTTTGTATGCACTGAAGAAAGCACATTTGTGCTTTGAAGAGAGTAACTACTACTGTAGAGGTCAGATGGGACCAGAAAAGAGCTATCCAAACATGTGTACATCCTGGGTTCTGTGCCTTGAATCACAGCTGGCATCTCCTCTTTCTCCTCACAGATGGTACTGAGGTTTTTCCCAAATTCCTTACTCAATCATTTTGCTGTGGGTGGACACAGGGTGTGTAATGACAATCTGTACTTTTGAGGCCTTTTGACAACACTTTCAAGTGACTAGCAAGGCAGTTTTAAAAAGGGAGCGAGATTTCCAGTGAGATCTTGGAAGGGAAGAAATGGTACTAAGTATTTTAAACATGTTTAGCTAATAATGTGGCGCGGTGGGGGTACAGAATACTAGAGGAGCTCGAGTAGGAGCCGAAGGGTGAGTATGGGGAGGCGGTGGGTGTGCAGACTGAGGACTAAGAGCGTCTCCTCCATCCTCCCCGCAGCTGCCCGGGAGAAAGCACAGCCTGCAGGCCATGCCACTCAGGGAGCTCTCCAGAGAACCAGATCCCGCTGGCTTTTGCAGACTGTGTCTCCATCTACTGGCCATTTGCAGACTGCATGTCAAGGGCAGCGTCAGGGCCCTACCCCCTGACCTTGCTCCAGCAGCTGGAGGTCAGAGACTAAGGTGGAGTCAGCATCCGTGAGCGCAGTGAACTGCAGGTCCCCGAGGTGCAAGATGGCAGCCAGGAGCACGAACAGGTTCTCCACCTCCTGCCATTGACAAAGGAAGAGGTCACTTAGGAAGGCGAACCGATAAGTCCTGGACAACTGAAACGTAGGTTACAGCACAGATGTGGAACCTGTGGGGGGACTGGGCCTCTCAGATCCCAAGTGTTGGACAGAAGAACTGTGAACACCTGTTTCCAAGCAGAAATCTCATAATCAATGCATATTTCTCATCATCAGTGTTTCTTTTCCTCAAACATAAGAGAATAAGGAAGTGATTCTGATACAAATTAATGTCTTCTTGGTTGTTTTTTGAGACAGGGTCTCACTATGTAGTCCAAGCTGGCCTTGAACCCATTATGTAGCCCATGCTGGCCTTGAACTCTCAACAATCCTCCTGCCTCAGCTTCCTAAGGGTTAGGACTACAGGTGTGCACCACCATGCCCAGAAATTAATGTCTTCTAAATACTGATTGCAACAAAAACAGATGATTACAGATGGAGGTCTAACTGGTTGGGAGTCACCTGGGGGGTAAGACTCCAGTCCTCTGACCCAACCCTTACAGCAGAGGCAGGAGGGTCTCTATGGTGGGCCTTTCCTAATGATCATCGCCCCTTGAGATAAGCAAAGGCGGTGATTGGAGTTTGCCACTTCTGCTGCGATGAAGACCAGGATGCCAGGGAAACATGGGAAAACTCCAGGGCCATCTCAGGGCAGAAAGCACAGGGGGTTGGAGAAAGCTCCCATGGAGAGAGCCAAGACCCAGGACGCCGCAGAGGTGAGATGGAGGTCTGCAGCTTGCTTTTGGATGGGTATTTTATGGCAACAACGAAAAATCAAGGAAGAGCTGAGCGTAAAAGTCTGCTTCTCTAGAATGTCAAATAGTGGCACTTGGTGCTCACAGGGCGCAGACAGAGGGGCTTTCAGTGTGCCAATCTGTGACTGTGGAGGAAAAGCTCCTGCCACACCTGCGTGGGTAGCCCTCAAGGCCTCTGCCGTCTGATTCATTAGCACTCACAGCAATGGGGTCCTCGGGATGGCACCATTTTCTCCAGTTTTCATAAAAGGCATGATTCTATTGTGTGGTGTAGTGTGTGTGTGTGTGTGTGTGTGTGTGTGTGTGTGTGTAGGAATCTAACCCAGGGCCTTTGCACTGAGCTACAGCCCAAGGCCTTTCTTTATTATTTACAGCGGACCCTTGACTTGTGAACTCAATCCATTCCCGAGGGCCGGCTGCAACTCAAGTTGGTCAGTGAAGGCTCAGGCTCCTCTACACAGCCTTCAAAGTCTCTCTCCTGCACACAGGCAGATCTCAGTGTCCTTGGAGAGACACCCGCCCAGGATTCCTCAGTTAGCCCCACATAGGAGAGGATGCTGTCCTGTTCCTTCCAGAGCTCTCTAAGGGTTAAATCTGTATCTGAGACCATCTGGAAGCACAAGTGGCCAGCATTCAGGTCATAACTCAAGACTTTGTTCATAAGTTAAACCAAAATTCTGGTAGTAATCCAAGTTGTTCTTATGTCAGGCTGGGTTGTAACTTGAGGGTCCACTGTATTTGGAGACAAGTCCTCTTGCTAATTTGCCAAGTTGCCAAGGCTGGCCTTAAACTTGTAATCCTCCTGCCTCAGCCTCCCAAAATATAGGGATTAATAGGATTCACCACCACACCCAGCTTGACTTTGTCATCTTTTATAAGACAGCACTCGGGTGGACACTCTCTAGGTATCACATTCTATGATCCTGACATTACACAAAACTGTGTTTGCAAATCCCTAAATTTCATATTTAATTCACTCTTGCCTTATAAAATAGCATCATCTTAGACTCTTAAGTGACTTGACAACTTTTTTCCTTAGTAATAATTCCTAAAGGTCTTCATTAAATATTTAGTATCTGCAAGACAGATGGACAAGCAGAACCTGTGCCGTGCTCAGGAGTCACAGGATTTAATGATGGAGGCAGATATGTGTCACTGTGTGACGGACTCCATGACAGGTCTGCAGTCCCTGTGGGCAGCGAGGCCATAACTCTGTCTGTTGTGCACAGCTGGCCCCTGATATCTTGCCCTCCCCACACTAGGTTGGGGCTGAGGGTGCAGGTCAAGGTTTTGGATGATCAAACTACCTAGGGCCACAGCTCACTTCTGGTTTATTTTGGCTGGAGTCCTGGTCAGCCCAGAAATGCCTTCCTGTGAGTTGCAATGGATTGAATCCACCCCTCCCAGTAGGCTAAGTGTCACTATTCCAGTTGCTTTCCAGGACCAAGAGGAAGGATGCACTTCACATCTTTTGTTGTCTTCTATCAACAGGTCAAAACTAACACATCATGAGAGTTTCTGTTAGTGCCGCAGCCAGCAGGTAGAGTTTGCTTGCTCTGCCTTTGAACACCAATCTTGGATTTTCAAAGTCCTGTTTCCAAGCAACTGGATTTCACTGGAATGAAATCTGCCTCTGTCTGTGCTCCTGTTTCCTGGAAGGAAGCTAGAAGCTTTAGGCATGGAGGGTGGGTGTTACAGTTTCTATCTAGATGTCTCCCAAAATCTCATGTGCTCATAGGTGGGGCTCTGGGGAGGTTACTGGATCATGGGGAGTGGTGCTCAAGGGCAGACTTGTCCACCGATGAGTTTAGAGCCTAATGTGATATTGGGGTGGAGCCTAGTGGAGGAGGTGGTCCCTGGGGCATGGCCCGGAAGGGTCAGGCTCCCTCCTCCTCCCTTGATCTCTCTCTGCTTCCTGTCACCATGCCAGGAGCTGTTTCTCCTTTGCCAGGCCCTCTGCCATGCTGCCTGCCTTGGAGCCAGCTGATTGTGGACGGAAACCTCTACAGACTATGAGCCAAAATAAACCTTTCCTTAGATTGTGGGTGCTGAGTATCGTGACTCAGTGATGAGAAAGTAACTAAGAAAATAGAAATAATAAAATCAGAAAAACCTGACAGGAGCAAGGACAAAGATGAAACTGTGCAAGTAGGTAGGGTCTAGGAAAGGACAGAAAAAGAGAGATTAGATAATTAGAGCAAAAAGAACAAGACACTGTCTGACCACAGCTTTTAGAATTCCAGCCTCTAAAAAAGATATCCCACTCAAAGCCAGGCACGGTGCCAGACTTCTGTAACCTTCACAGTGGGGAGACTGAGGCAGGAGGACTGCCTCAAGTTCAAGGCCAGCCTGGGCTATACGGTAAGTTCAAAGCCAGCCTGAACTACACAGTGAGACCCTGTCTCAAAAAACAAAACAAAACAAAACAAAACAAAAAAACTGGTTTCTGAATAGAGTGAGGGGGGACCAGAGCGAATGTTCAAGTGACTTCATTCGGGGGCCATTCCTGACCCTGGCCCCGGGGCACTTCCCACCCTCACATGCAGTCTCTGCCCCCTCAGGCTGGGGATGGGGAAACCCAGGCCCACACTGGCCACAAACAGAACATGTCATGCCTGGGGTGGAGTCTGGGCTGTGCACGCCTGGCTTCTCGGAGGCACTCGCTCTGGCAAGGTAACCCTAACCCAGACCTCGAATGCGGAGGGGGACTCGGTGCCTCGGAGGGAAGGCGAGGCCTGGGGGTCTGCGAGCTGTCTCGCCCAAGCTGGACCACTCTACATCTCTGACTCAGCAGACCTGCGCTGTTTACTTCAGCAACTGTGAACCACACACAGCTATGTAAGTTAATCAAAAGAAAAATATTAAAATTGAATTTCTTCCGCCTTGTGAGCCGCACGCCAAGGGGCTGGGAGTGGTGCAGGGCTGGCAGCAGGTGGGAACACTTCCGGGTCACGTATGTTCCTTCTGCACAGCCGTGGGGAGGCCTTTCTGAGGGACCGCGCAGCTCAGCAAGGTCTGCAGGTACCGGGTAATCCTTTAGGAATGAGAGCACTGTTTTCTGTTGTTTAAGAAGACACTGTAATACAGTGAGTAGATTCATTTTCCTTGACTCTGAGTGGTCAACAGTATCTTGAGGTCCCCTAGGATTCTAGTGGGTTGGTCAGTTCAGGCAGTGTGATCAAAAACATGGTTAATGCTTAAGTTAAAAATATTTATTACAGTAAATATAAACACACTGCCATGAATCCCCTAAAATCCCTGCCCACTCTTTATACACACTCCCCCTATTGTCCCTGACACTTTCTGAAGTGGCTGTGGAGTCCTCTTTCCTTTTGTCTTTAGTTGTGCTGTCCTGGCTGCCTGCATGTCTGAACAGATTCAAAATGTTGACCTTTTGTGTCATTTTGATTTGGGAGAGGAGCCACAAGTCCCATGAATGAGGTGGGTGAGGACACAGCGTCATGTTTTTATGGGTCTTTTTGTTGGACGTCACGGACAGCAGCATTCACTGTATTTTTGATCACACTATGAGGACACTCATGAAAGAGGACTTCTATAGCTGCTTCAGAAAGTGGCAAGAACAATGAAATAAGTGTATTTGTTCAAGGCAAGGAGAGCATTTTGAGGGGAATAATGTCAATATGTGTTTTAGTGGGATACAAGTTTTAAAATTTAAACATTCAGCGTATACTTGGACCACACCTTGGTTATTGGTCTGATCTGGACATGCACCCATGTTCCTTTTGGGAAAGGCTCCAGGCCACCATACTGAAAACTACACCCCTTCCTGTCACACTCTGAGGTCATCCTTCCTCCTTGTCTTCCCAGTACCTCTCCCCTCCCCAGCCTCTCTGCTCATCTCCTGCCCCACTAGAATTCGGGCTCCAGGAGCAGGGCTGGGGCTTCTGTTATGCCGAGTCACCAACGTCTCCAACAGTGTCTGGATGTAACCAGGTGTGGGAGATGAACTTGGATGAATAACTTTCATAACCTGGTTCAAGGTTGGTTTTCTCTCAGTGAAACACGAAGATGACTCACCAAGTTGCTGAAGCCAATTACATTCAGAGCTTGTTTCAAAGCCACGAATCTTTCCCTGTTCAGCACATGCTCGGCTGTGGCTGCATCTCTTCCTGTGGCCTGGTTCAGATACCTGTGGGGACAAAGCACACTGCACTGTAGCTCAGCGTGGAGTTGAACTCTGGTGGCCACAGGCACTTCAGCCACATTCCGTCTCCTCCACAGCGGAATCACCTGGACACCATGTGCCCGTGTGTTTACAAAGCCTTTGGAACCTAATAGCACACGATGTTTCTGCAAGGGACAATGTAGCTCTCATTGTTCCAGAACATAATTACACTGTGGGACAGGGCCCTTGCTTCAGCTGTGACCGTCCCTGTGAAATGAAGAAAGTTACAGGCACTTCCTGTTCTTCATGTAGACGCCTGGCAGAAACTGCCACAGGCCCTGTGATTAGTATTTGCATCAGAGATGCTGAATTTATACCAATTCGCTCTCTCTTCTTGTCAGTATGTTTTAATTATGAGGTAGTTGATTAATTCGCTGATTTATTCCTTTCATTCAGCAAACACACAGGAATCATCTACCTAAACAGAGCATACCCCACAGCTGAGGTGGAGACATAAAGGGCTCCTTGCCAGAAGCCAGCAATGACAAGATACAGTCCTCGGGGCAGAGACAGGAGCACAGAGGGCCACAAGGCAGTGCTGAGGTAGAATAGCAGGGAACAATGGGTAAATCAGACACATGAGATTCCACATGGCATGGCTTCTCTTATGTGAGGAACTCAGAGTCTAAATAAATCACTGAGCAAAATAAAAGATAAATAATAGGAAAGAGGGGGATGGGCCTTTTGCAAATGGCAAGAGGGCAGAGAGATGGAGGGAGGGGATGGAAAATGAATTTCGATGTGTGTCGTCCACGCAGTAGTTCCCCTCGAGGAGTGCATTCACTATGTACTGCTAGCATGTCCTGAGAAGAATAAAAATGTAAAGACCTAAAAGATAAAGTACAAGTATGTGGTGACCCAGAAGTGGCTGAGGAACAAACCCTGAGGCGAGCAGAGGGGTTCTGATCCAAGCTGGCATGCAAGTGAGAAGCAGCCCGGCCGAGCAACTGCTCCAGGGTAAGGAGTCCCTGGAGCAAGCAGCATCACCCGGGAGGCGCACGGAGGGAGGGAGGGAGCCAGCAGGCGGGGAGGAAAGGCTGCCCAGGCTGGAGCTCAGCATCACACCCTGAGAGGTGTGGGGTGTGTTCTGGGCAGGAAGAGGGCCCTGGAGGCCCTGGAGGAGAGCTGTCATGGGTGGAGGTTTAGGAAAAGGATCCTGGTGGCCCAGGAAAAGAGGAGGAGGAGGCGGGGGGGGGGTGATAAGGAGAGAAAAACCCAAAGGAGCAGAGAGCCGGGCACAGGAGGAGAGGGCAGAGGGCAGCCAGGTGCTCCTGGAGGGGAGAGGAGAAAGGGCGCTGGCCACTGGCGCCTGCCTTTCAGGGCCCTGTTTGGGGGTGCGCTCACCCAGGGAGCCTTGCAGGGCGGCGGGTGGTTTGGGGAGAGAAAGTCTCAGAGCCGCACTGAATGTGAGCTTCTTGTTAGAGCTCAAGTGGAGGAGATCCAGGAGAGGCCAGATGCAAGCACCAGGGTTCAGGAGAGGAGAGAAAATGTGGTCTGGAAACCATGAAGATGCAGAGGATAAAACCAGGGTGGGTGAGCTCGCCGAATGGGACTCCAGTGCATCAGAGCCGAAGAAGGAATCCAGGGTTCAGGGAAAGGAGGGCGAATAAAGACGTCTGACAGAATCACCAAAGCCGCAGGGACCAGTGCTTCAGATGGGCTGGCGTGGGCTCAGTGCATGGTGCTAGGGGCCGGGCTGGGGCCTCTGTCCCCGGGTCTTGGCCCAGCCCCTCCTCCGCAGAAGGCTGCTGGCTTCCTGCCGCACCAGCTGGGGAGGGAGAATGCCCAGCGGGGCTCGGGTCACTGTGCCCAGCGGTGCCGGCCCAGGTGGTGGCAGGGATGCTGGGTGCTGGCTGGGGAGGAGGGGACTCAGCACAGAGTGACCTCCCCACCGCAGGCTTGGGGACCAGCCACAGGCGGTGCTCCAGACCCCCAAGGCTGGCAGAGGACCCCGCGGGGAGCCGCTGGCAGCACCTCACCCAGGCCCTCAGCTGTTAGCAGGACAAGGAGGAACCACACCCAGAATCCAGCAGTGTGGCAGCACAGCAACTGGGCAGCACTGCCATCAGCACCATGGAGTTACACTGTACGTAAGCAAAGAGAAGATTCCTGACCTTCAATGTCTGGTGGAGAGGAGGAACATGAAGCCATCTCACCCAAAGCCGTCCACACAACCGCCTTTCCCCTACGCATTTCCCCTTCCTCATTTCTATTCATCCTTTCTCTTGATACATTAATCAATTATTTAAGAATGGTCAGTTTTCTCCTTGAGATAAATTCTAGGAAAGATGTATTTCTGTGTCCTTAAAGTGGCAAAGTGCTTAAAAGCCCTGATGGATGTGAAAAGTGTCACTTGGTGATATGCATATTCAGCAGGTATTTAATGTGCAGGTTTGTACTACGGGAAAGAGAGAAGGGAGGGAGGGAACCCGAGAAAGCGAAGTGGGAAAGAAGGGAAGAGATAATCATTCATCGAAAGGATACTGACATAAATCTGTACGGGATTCCCCATATCAAGGATTTAGAGCGAGCTTCTTTCAGTCTGTTGCAGTCGTTCTTCTCTCTCTGTCCACAGTTTTCTGTGAATGCAGCTCATCTGCCCACTCAGCTGTGGGGGACCTCTAGGTTGTTTCTAGTTTGGGGGCTGCGACTGACGCCACCACGAGCAAGCGAGCACTCCCCTGCAGATGCGTAAGCAACAGTTCTCGGAACAAGGGCCCCAGCAGTAGCCGGCCCATGTGGTGGGTGTGCCTTTAGGCCCAGAAGCACTGCTGGGCTCCAGGGAGCCTCCTGTGCCACTTCACACTCCCACAAGCCACACCAGAGTGCGGCCTCTCCACACCCTCCCCGGGATCTGCCAGTGTCGCAGCCCTTGGGCCGGTTCCGCGGGCAGCATGCCTGGTGACACCCACCTCATGGGGCTGCAGTCTGCGTTCCCCACTGCTAATGATGGGGCATGTTTCCCGCGCGGGTCTGACATCTCCATGACTCTCCTGTGAAATGTCTTCATGCCTTCTGTCAGTTTTCTAATGCACATAAAGCACTTTCTTCTACTGTTAACTCTGGAGACATCTTTATATATTCTAAGCCTTTGCTGGATGTGAGGTTTCCAACATTTGCCCTCACGCTGTAGCCTGACTTTTTGATGCTTCTAACAGGGATTTCTGAAGAGCAAGAGCTTTACATTGTCATGCGATTCAACATGTCCTGTATCCCTTGCATGGTTCCTGTGTCTGCTGTCACATTTAAATCCTTTCCAGCCTTGAACTAGATGTGAAATGCTTTCGCTTTGCCTTGTTCCGTTATCTGTGTCCTGTGTACACTGTGTCTGTGGATGTCCAGTTGCTTCGGCACCGTGGGACGACACCATCTTTCCTGCGCTGAACTGCTGTGTGCCGTAGTCAGGAACCAGCGGCGTGTGCGTGCGTCCATGCCCACAGTTCCCTCCTTCCTTCTGCCTGTGACCTGCCTGCCAATACCGCAGCAGCTAGACTACTATGTGGGCGTGGTTGGCCCAGGTGTCGTTCAGTCTGCTGATTTTATTCTTCTCTTTCAAGATTATTTTAACTATATGGAGGGCCTGCGTTTTTACAAATACACTTTGGAGCAAGCCTTGTTTATGTGTTTAGTGTGGCTTCCGACAGGAAAGGCACTGGCCTCCCAAGGCATCTGAAAGTTAACTGACCGCTGTTGTACTGACCGTTCCAACTCGTGACATGGCGTGTCTCTCCACCTTACTCATCGGGAGTTTATTGCTTCCAGCATACAAATACTGTAGGTTTGTTAAGTGTACACTGAAGTATTTCACCATCATACATTTTGAATTTTGGTTTCCTTGCATTCACTGTTAACACACAGTAGTACAGTGGTACCTTGGTTCACGAACTTCATTCTTTCCGTGATTCTCGTTGCAAACCAAATTGGTTGTGAACCCAATCGAACTTCCCCTTAAGGCCGGCACTGAACCTGACCATTGCATTTGGCTTCATGAACTGAAGTTGCACTGTGTTTGTACCCTCTGGCATTTATCTATCTCATACCCAGAGGAAGCTGGAGTCATTCACTAGCTTTAGGTGACTTCGGGGTAGAATCCTCAGAGGTTTGCACTCTTCTTTTTTGGTACCGGGGACCGTGCACTTGCAAGGTGGGCAGCAGAACCACTGAGCTAAATCCCCGGCCCCTCGCACTTTTTTCACAAAACCCGATGGTGCTTTCTCCTGACTAAGTGTACAAAGGTCATCCTTACAGACTGGTGAAGAAGAGTCGCACTTCACCTTCTTGCTGCCCTTACAAACCTAGGTGGGTGTGTGCTATAATCGCTATAATCGTGAAGAGTTCCACTGAAGCACAGATAAGAGGAGAACTCGCTACAGTCAGATCTGTTTGAAGTGAGTCTCCAGGCTGCTTATAATCAGGCGCCCCATTGTTCCTGTGTGCTGACAATACCCAGCAGCCCGATGGTGCATCACCCCAGTGGGCCAGTTACACCGCCCACACAGTTCCATATGCAGGGTGTGCAAGGTGTGTGTTTGTACTTTCACTTTGTGACAGAGTGGAGCGTGCACTGGAATAGTGCCACTCTTATGCCACCTGTGAACACCAGAGTGAACTTATTCCACACATGAAAGCACAGAAGGGCTCTCCCTGTCCACAGGAGAGTCAAGTGACACTAGGAGTCTCTTTCTGGCCCTGTTGTGCAGAGGGTAAAGCACAACTGGAATCCCAGCACTCAGGAGGCTGAGGCAGGAGGGTTGCAAGTTGAAGGCCAGCCTGGAGTACACATTGAGACAATTTCCTGCCCCATAGTAAAGAGCTGCTGCTCAGTCTATGGCATCACTATGAGGAACAGGAATTCAAGAGAGCAATGATAGTGACTCAAATATCAAATACAAACAGTGATTGCAAAGAAATCATCATTACATTCCAAGGGCCCATGTCCATGCCTGTCCATAATGGGCACAGTA